AACCCCCCCCCCCAGACTATTTGGTCTGTCATGTGTGATTTGAAGAGATAAGTTAAGTTATCTGGCCCAGCTGTTCTGAGGCAGATGTGTACATGAAGATCTTAAGACAGGAAAACAGGGTTGACCTCAGTCCTCTAGTCCATCTCCTGCTCAAGGCAGGATCATCCCTGACTAAACCATCCCAGCCAAATGTCTGTCTCACCTGGCCTTCAAGCTTCCAAGGCTGGAGATCCTGTAGTTTTCCTAGGTAGCCTGTTCCAATGCTTGACAATCCCCATGTTCAGGAAGTTCCTTCTAATCTCCAACCTAAAGTTTGCCTGCTGCAGCTTGAGGCCACTGCTCCTAATCCTGTCCCCTCAGACACAGAGAAAAGCCCATCTCTGTCCCCTGCGTAATCATCCTTCAGGTATTATCAAATTTCCCCTCAGTCTTCTCTTCTCCAGACTAAGTAACCCAAGTTTTTTCAGCTGCTCATAAGGCTTTCCTCCTAGGCCCCTATCATTTACTTGCTCTGCACTGGACTCCTTCCAATTGTGGGACCAAAACTGGACAGAGTACCACAGAAATGGAGATTTGGAGTCTGATACACTTATTCCAAAGTTTGAATACTTCTTGATGTGGGAAAGTGGGAGAGGGTTCAGGGGAAGTTGGATCACACACAAAGGAACATCCTCTCACCACAGGGCCAGACACTAAGAGGGGGCTGTTGGGAGGCAGAGATGGCAAAAACTATTGAATGAGGGGCCCATAAGGCAATAGCACGTGTTCTAGTAAACATCTTTCCCTTGCACGGCCCATGGCATTGACAGAAAGGGCCCAAAGCCAAAGTGTCAAACTTTGGTGTCTGAGATGTGTATCTTGCATGATCCCCAAAATACCTTATGAAAAACTGAGAAGGCTGGAGGGCTACTCCAGGGAAGCACCCATGAGTGCTCTGAGCCTTACCTATCCTTGGACACTAATGAAGATGAGCATATAAAATCCACTAGTAGTGCTGATCGCATCAGTACTAAGGAGTGGATTTTCAGAGATGTCAGTTCCAAAGATGGAAGTGCTTAACTGGCAATTTAGGCTCCTGGGGTGTGAACATGGCCAGGGTTTCCTGGTTGTTCGGAGGGGGTGGGGGGGTGTCCCTTCTAGATGTATGGCAAGTGCTGAATGCCTTGGTGTAAGTAACAGGGATCGCTGCCACACCTGTCTCTTTGGTCATCAGGTCTGCTGATAGCTAGGTCCCAGGAGGAAGAGGGGTCTTTTGCAGTGCTGTAATGTTGTTTTTCATTTCTCAACAACATGACAGAAACTTTGTCAGAAACCCCTTGCAGTTGCACAGTTTTAATAGGCGTCTTGTGTGAGGACAGACATCTCCTCCAAAAGGAGTGGATCTTCATACAGGATTTTATTCCTCAGACTCCCCTTGCTACTTTGTCAGACAGAGGGACGTGCTCTTAGGTTTTATGGAAACATGATCAAAGGAGTCCTGGGCTCCTGGATCCAAAGCTGGCCCCAATCATTTGCTCAGGAGTTATATCTGCTGCCTTGCCCCCACAGCTTTGTGAGTTTGGGAGGTGAAGAACTTACACACAGCATTTTCCTGGACTGTAAGATTCTTCCGGATGGTCAAGGTACTCACTAGGATATCCCTGCCATGTGAAGGAGAAATGCATCACACTAGGTGATACTGTGGCACTATTTGGGGGTGAGGGAAGCCAGGCAATAGTTTCTTCAAAAGCAAGTTGCCAAAAAGCACTGACCTATTAAACTACTAAACTATTCCACTGACCCATTAAACTATCAAAAACTACTAATAGTAGTAGTTAAGAGTTTGACAGTCTGGGAGACAGCAGCAAAGAGCTGTGCCTTGAGCTAAAAGGATCTGAAGTACAGCTGGCATACTCCACCCTTTCTGCTGTCAGTGTGAAGCATAAGGAGTGAGGGGATGCACATATGCCATGTTAATAATGCTGTCCAAAGAATGTCTCTTGAGACTGAGCCCATGAAAAGCATGCTACATAAGAGAAAAGAATGAGAAGATCTAAGAAAAGATGCATGACAGACTGTTTCCTGGATGGACAGAAAGTAAGAAAATCTTTGGAGAGTGGATGACTTACGTGCCACTTATCTGCAGATCCAAATGTAGGGCCTTGTGCCTCAAAAATATCCTATTATCACTTCTATAAAACAAGTGCTACTTCCCATAGTAAGAATGCTCTCCAATAAGCTAAAATAATGTTTGATTATTTAGTTCTTTTCACTGGAGAGTAGAACTGATTAAGTACTGCTGTGTCAAAATATTCTCTTTCAAATCCTGGAAAACATTTCAAATTAGTTGATGTACGGGATAGTTATACGGGTCCCTTTTTAGTAATGATTCAAAAACTTGTGCCAAATGAGGGTGCTGTTCTTCAAAGCTAAGCTAGTCTTGGAATAACAAACAAGTAGCAACAATAGATACAGACACTTCTCTGATCCCAGTCTTGTCACTTGGAAGCCATTCATCAGTGCACCCTTAATGAGGCTTAGCAAAAAATGCAAAGTCCACATAAAGACAAAACACTATGATGGATATTATCACTATATGAACGGTGACATTATAGGCTGACTTGCACAGACCTTGGTCACATGAACAGAAAAAAAAACTGATCACAGCAGTAGGTTATCTTCTTCTACATGGACCAACACTGAGCTGCAATGAGACACTTTGCTAACAGGTTACACATGTAACATGGTAACAGCAGAGTGATGGTGACACTTATGAATTTTGGTTTCCATCTTTCATCCGGAGAGGAGCGAGTCCACTGAGCACAGACTCCTCTGCCCTTCCTCCTCCCTATCAAGCTTGATTATTTTTGGCTATACTTCCTCTATATTACCAGTAAATACAGCCAATAATATTAAGAACACCAGCAACATGAGGTAGCCCTGCTATTTCCCAAAACTGCTATTTGACACTGAAAAAGCCTGTACTTTATATGAAGTGCTTTCTAAAACTTGCAGTTTGCAGGAAACAAACCCACTGTAAACAGTTTACATAGGAAATTTTTACATGATATAAAACTTTATAGGTGTGACTTTTGCCTGAAACCCTTGAAAACTCTGGCAGTGCCTGATGTATGTTCAGAGGTTGAAATAAAATTCAACTTTAACTAACACTGCAGGAAGCCCATGGTTAGCATTTGCAAAAGATTTTTCTTCTTCTCTGGTTTGTTAAAATTGCCTGAACGGAGCACATCTTCCATTAAAGATCTGTAGAATTTCAAAAAGTGTTAATAATTTCCTGCTCAGGCAGATGTTCAACCATAAATTTACCTCCCTTCAGATGCATGCTTTTATAAGTACCTGTTTTTTCACTCTCAAACCATAATCTTTTTCTATTTGATGTTGCAGTGAAATGCATGTAGTCACACACTTTGTGGCAGTACTAGGATATCATAAAACAGAATTAATGACTTTACAAAAGAAGCAAGAAAACCAGAAAACAACTGCTAGAAAAAGAAGCTCTGGTTAGCAGCAGAACTCTAAACTCTGATTTGCACATAAGAGATGACTAAGTACATTGCATAAGTTAACCTTACGTTAAACTGCACGTTAAAGCTCACTCCAAATGAGAATTCCTTCAATTAAAAAAAAAAGAAAAGGAGAAAAAGAGAGATTATCATGAAACTGTCCATATATAAGCAGCTATGTTTTCTGCCTCCATAAAACATGGAAGTGTGCTTATCTGCGTAGCCCAAAGAAGTCTTCAGGCACTGCAATTCTGCCACAGTTATAGGCAAGTTAGAAAAGCTGAATGTGACAAAAAATATCAACGCAAAATTGTGAGTAGGTGAAATCTGAGTTAACATCACTTTTGACTGGTGAAAAGTTGCACATCCCTGTTCAGTTTGGTTATGAAAAAACTGCAGAGCAGGATAAAGGATTCACAAACTCTAAGGCTGGAACAAACTATTCTGATCAAAGGATGCAGTAAGTCACCCTTTAATTTCCATTTGTATTATTTATTTTTAGCTTCTGCCTATTTGCATTTTTACTTCCTATTTTTATCCAACTCTTGATTCCCTCATGTTTTTAAACTTCCCCCCTTCTAAAATTCTCTTAAACAATGAGATCAGGATTAGTTCAAGTAAGAAAGATGGTGACCAGCCCATATCTGTTTAACTGTTTGTGATGACAAGCTTTGTTTACTGATTTTCTAAATCTCACTACCAGAATCCCCATGCCTCCTTTTTTCTCATTATCTTTCATTGATTCCTAACTCGCCAGTCAAGCACTGCTACACAATCAAATGAGGTAAAATTAACTACGAAATAACAATTAACAATACATGTTGGTTACAAATAAATCTTAACAAATTACAAAGACACTTCAGGATAACAGTCATTATCCACAAATCATCATCTGTTCCCAAATACCTACTGTATTTACTTTGTGGCCTACCACAAATACTTCTGCTCAAAAATCAGCCCTCCAAAATTGGAATGCGTGTCTTAAGCAGGGAAGCCAATCTTTGCTGGAGTAGAAGCATGGAGTCACTGTGCTGTAATGGCTGCTGCTTCTACATGCCAGCAGGAGAGTCCAGTTTAACCTTCTCATTGTCATTGCCCAATTGGCAGCCGCTTTTGTCTGTTCACCCAATTTGGCAGTGGCTATGAAAGAGTTAACATTGTGAACTGGATGACTGTGAGTGAACTGCTGCATGCAGTCAGCTCTTGGCCATGACTCTGGAAAAAAATCTCACTCTTCATTCTTCTGCCTTCCAAAAATAAGTTGTGTATCTTAACAGGGAAGAGGCATATGGCAAACAAGGAAATACAGTATTTGAGAAGCTACAGGAACTGGCAGGAACTGTACGTACATGGAAAGGAACCACTGGTTGGCTTTCACCTCTTCTGAGGCAAGTAACCAGATATATTTTCAAACTCCCAGGAAAGGAAAGAAAATGTGTATTGAGGAAAGAAACAACATTACCTGTTCTGAGGAAATAACAAAATGGTTGGGAGGCGATCTGTCATAAATTCCCATGGGAGGTCATTTTGAGAGACATCGATTCTACAATACACAAAGCAAAAAAAAGAAAAAAAAAGAAATGGATAAAGAGATCAGGCACTGAATATTCCAAGCTTTACTCTCAATTTTGACATATCATAATTTGGAGGTGATGAACAGACAACAGCAGGTATGAGAAATCAAACTTAAATGTATTCTATTACAAGAAACGTTATGAAGCTGAATCAGCACATTACATACAACATTATATAAAACTACTCTCAGTTTAGCAAACTGCCATGCACAAAGCTTTGGCTGCTACTTTCCTGCCAGAAAAAGAAATTTAAAAAAAATCAACTTTTTCTTAGTAATTAATGGAATCCCATTACTGGTTACCATACTTTGTTACAGGAGCTCGTTTCCTTGAGACAGACTGGTGTACCAAACGCAGCACTATCAGTGCAATGCAGAAGGACGGTATTCCAGCATTAAGAATGTTCTATTTAGCAAAGCTGCTGAGTGTCCTACGTCAGGTACATTTTATCTTGTGCAAGGGAAGCTGTCTTAATTCATAAAATGGAATACCATCCAGCATTTAAACTAAAAAACTAAAACAAAACAAACCCTGCACTTAATCACATAAAACTCAACTGCTCCGGAAGCAACATTTACATTTGTCAGCATCTCTTGTTGTTTGCAACAGACAGGTTTCTTCCTTCAGCAAAAGAAACACCTTGTGGCATATCACAGCAAGTAGCCACCTGACTTCATTATGTATCATGTACTTCAGGACACTATAAGTTCAATGTCCTTTCTGATGTTCTGGAGGGAGAGAGATTTACTCTTCTTGGCAATTTCGATGCCAGAGTCAGAAGGGACTTGAACCACTGGAATGGAACCATCAGCAAGGAAGGAGTAGGAAAGGTCAACTCCAGCAGCTTCCTCTTCTTGACTAAATGCACAGGCCATGGACTCATCAGCACTAACAGTAACACCCTGTTCTGCCAGAAAAACGGGCACAAGACATCATGGCAACACCCCCAGTCTAAACACTGGCAAACAACTGATGGACTATATCACTGCCTGGGACTGCAAAGATGTCTGCATCACCCAAGCTATGCTAGGAGCTGAAGATTGCTGGTCCAATCATTGACTCATCCACTTGGAGCCAGTTTGAGTAACATAACCCAAGCGACAGCTGCAGCAGAAGCAATGCCAATAGAAGATCAACATCAGAATACTCAAGGACCTAATCAAGTGAAATCTCTTCCGTGACAGGGGCATGCTTCCAGGCCTGATCTCAATATCAGCCCGCTTCCTGTCTATAGGCAAACCAACCACCTTGTACCCCTGCCACACCTTGTATTTTAATTAGGAAGTTAATCAGGTGAAGGCTGACCTTTGAGTGCCCAGCTGTATCACAGGCCATATGTACACACTCCGACTACCCCTTACACGTGTCCCAAGCCTCAGAGACGTCTCACTGCGTGTTACATCTCCAGCTCAAGACCGAGCCAAACTGGGTACACAGCTGAGTCTCTCACACTTTGCTGTCTTGGGCCACACACACACTGCCTCCCTCTCACTGGGGCCTCTCACACACTGCCTGCTCTCACCAAGACTCTTTCACGCATGCCCTCTTCAAGGCATTGACCTGCTCCTCTGAGCAACTCCCATAGGCCATCAGGCTTTCCTCTCCTCATTTTGGCCAATCCTAGTGCAGCCTGAGACAGTCATCTGAACTAGGCTGGGCAATTAACAAACTATAGGCCAACTTTGCCCCCTAGCCCCTCACCAGGCCACTTGGCTCCCTCCTCGGGCCAACACTCAACAGCTATGCTGGGGGTCTTTCATCCCTACAGGCTCAGGCACCCCTCCCTGAACATACCTGGCCCCATTTCACCCTCTCATTAGGGTCCGGGGTCTTACACCCTCCTTAGGGCTCAGGTGCCTCTTGGTAGGCATACATGGCCCCACTCCTCCCCTCCAGTAACCCACTGGATGATGGGGGCTGGAGTTATTGAGGCACCCTGACCCACCTTTCACTGGGGAGGTTAGCGGCCTTGGTACTTACATGGGGCTGCCCCACCACTAGCAGTCCCACCAGGTCTCTGTTCCCCAGCAGGGTGCAGCCTCCTCCTTCCCTATAGCCCGTTCCCCAACCTCCGAGATGTTCCTGAAGCAGTAGCTCCATGAGGTGATGTTCCTCCCTTGCTGTCTAGCAGCAAATTGCTGCCACAGCTCAGAGAGCTGGGCTCTACAATGGCTGCCCTAATCAGGCACCTGCTGGCTGCCTGCTCCAGCCCTTAAAGTGGCGTCACATCTTCCCTCAGTGCCTCAATGAAAAACTGGTGAATTCCAATCAACAACAAAGGGAAAATATCATCAGCACTTGCGGTGTCTTCAAGTCCACTGTCATCAGCACCTGCAAAGAGACACTTGGATTCTTTACCTGGAAACATCAAAACTGGTTTGATGAGAAGGACTAGGAGGTCCAGGAGTTGGTCAACTACAAGTGCAAGGCCTTTTGAGTTTGGCAGAATGATGCCAACTCCAAGCAAAAGAAATGGTATCACCAACAAGCCCAGGCAGAGGTCCAAAGAAGTACCTGCGATGTGAAGAACACAGTGGGAAGACAAGATGAAGGACATTCAATAGTTTGCCGACATCTACAACGCGCATATTTTTTTCCCAGTGCCACCAAAGCCATCTATGGTGGAGGCACTCAGGAACCAACCTCCTTGAGACCTAAGGATGGAGGAGATCTGATCAAGGAAAGGGGAGCCATCAATGCCCAGTGGAAGAAGCATTCTGAAGACCTTCTCAATCGCGACTCTCTTTGTTAATGAGAGTGTTCTCAATTCCATCTTTGAATCCCTCCAAGCCTTGATGAGGTAAGGAAAGCCATCAAGCAGATGAACAACAAGGCACCTAGAGGAGATGGAATCTCCACTGAAATCTTCAAGCAGGGGGGGAGAGCAGTTTATATCATAGCTCCATTCCCTCACTGTAAGGATTTGGAATGAGGAGAAAATCCCAGACAACCTCAAGGATGCCATGATTATGACAATCTTCAGGAAAGGAGACAAGTCCGACTGCAGATATTAGAGGGATCGCCATGCTGTCTATCACAGGAAAGATCATTGAGAGAACCCTCCTGAATCGTCTCCTTCCACTTCCTGAAGAGCTCCTCCCAGAATATTAGTTTGGGTTTAGAGCATCAAGAGGCACAACTGATATGATCTTCACAGCTAATCTGCTGCAGGAAAAATGCCAGAAACAACATAAACCTCTTTATGTGTCCTTCTTTGAGCTTACAGGAGCCTCCAACTCTGTCAACTGAGAAGTGTTGTAGAAGATCCTTCTGAACTATGGACAGTCACTAAAATTCATCACCATTCTTTGTCTGCTCCGTGGTGTTATGCAAGCAGTGGTTCTCAGTAATGGAACCATCACAGATCCCTTTGGGGTAAAGACAGGAGTTAAGCAAAGCTGTGTCATCACTGCAACACCCTTCTCAATATTCCTTACCACAATACCATATCTGACCAACAACAACCTTCCAACTGGAGTAGAGCTAAACTACCAAGTGGATGGTAAACTGTTTAATCTCAGCCAACTGAGTCAAAACCAAGACCACCCCAACCTCAAATCGTTGAGCTCCAGGATGCTGATCATGCTGTAGCCTATGCTCACTTGGAACCAGACCTTCACATAACCGCTTATATCTTTATCAAAGAATTCAAGTTTAATGTGTTCTGGATAATTTTAGGAATTTGGGGCCTGGCAATTCATAATAGTAACAGAAGAAAAGTTTTGTATTTGAATAAAAGTTGACAATAATCTATAGCTGCTTATAATTGCAGCAGGTGAGCTTTGAATTAGCACTTTTAAAAAATCTCTTAACAGCATTGACTCTGACTACACCTGCTCATTAAGCCTGGGGCTTATCTACGTGTTATTTTATGCTTGGACTATCTGTTTAGAAATTTTAAAAATATGCATAGGCAGGGTCAGGTCTTCAAGTGACCAAGAACAATACAGGTTGAGAAACCTCAATACTGAGGCAAAAGATGATTATAACATTATAAAGGCAACCTCCACTTAGCACTTCTAATTGGTTCCCAAAAAACAAGCATTAAGCAGAATAGCATTAAGTGAAACCAATTTTCCCATACAAATTGATGTACTAAGTACAATTTGTTAATGTGGCTCCCCACTAATACTATAAAAATCATTTAATCTGGACTTCTAATTCAAATATTTAATTCACACTTTCTAATTCAAAGCCAAATTCAATGCTCTACAGACCTCAATATGGCATTCACCTGCTTTAGGACATCCAATTTTAAGCTCCAGTATTAAGCTTTTGTGCTGTTTTTTCTCAGCACTTGCAGTTACAGAGTTGGTTGCATGTTTCTGACTCGTGATGATTGATTTCAAGGGTCAAAATAAATTGCTAAACTCAGAGCACAAAAGTTTTTGACTAACTAAGACGGTGACACAAACAACCTGGCACTAAATTGCACAGTGAGGCTTAGTGCCACAGCATGTCGGTGGCGCATGTGTACACGCCCTGCTGCCAGCTGTACAATGCCTGTGAGAATTATAACGAAACTCACTGAGTGCTAAGTGGAATCGGGTATCAATGTAAAACAAGCGTTATAGCCAAATAGCGCTGAACAAGGATTGCCTATGTTTTATTCTTAGAAAATAAATTGTTACAACCTTATCCATGCCTTGCCTGAAGGTTAGGAGGCATCTACAATTTTATATTGGATGCCTGGAGAACACTTTTTTTTTTTGTTTTTTTTAAATGAGTTGGTTCAAAGCTGATTAAAGTAATTCTAAGATGTTTCTGCCTTGTGTCACTCCAACCAAAGACTTAAAAAAATTAAAAAGCCTATTTATATGTTGCCATTAGGTGCTGAGGGAAACAGCTAACAGCTTATTTATCTCAAGGAAAAAGCTACCCCAAGATAAGCTGCAAGCAGACAATCCCTATGTCAGTGTAAATTACACTAGTTTATCCTTCTCCCATTCCTTCAGGGGTACTATACTTG